GGGGGACCCCCGGGTTCTGGAGGAAAAGGGTGGCAATTTTCCACAGTAAAGCGGCGGTGGATCACGCTCTCTCGATGATGATGAGGATGATGATGCTGATGATGATCGTGGTAAGTGCTGGTGGGTTATGCTGGATTGATGATGGTGATGGGGAGTGATGAGGATGATGACGATGATACTGAATGGTGACGATGATAATGGCGGTGATGATGATGTGTGTATGATGATGGTGATGATGATGGTGATGGTGATGATGATGATGGCGATGATGATGTGGGGCGTTCCTGTTCCTGCGCGGGGGTGTCCAGAGAAAACAAGAACCCGACTTAGGATGTGGGGAACAAAACCACGGAGGGTCTTCTAACCTGAGGAAGTCTTTAGTTTTGCTCTCCCCCCACCCCCCTGGAGCTCTCGGCGGTGAATAAACTCGTCCCGAAGCTCGTCCGCTCCCGAAACCTCTCCTCCTCCTCAAAGTGCAGCTCTCGCCTCAGCGCCGCGCACATGCGTCTTCGTCTTCGTCGTCACATCGCTGTCGTAGTCGCAATCGCACACGTACTCGTTATCGTCTTCGTCTTCGTCTTCGTCATCGGACCGCCCGAACTATGACTATTTTCCGCTATTCTCTGGCGGGGTCGTTTTTTTCGAGTTGTGTCAATGAATTCGCCCGAATGATACTTATTTTTTCATCTATTGGCCAAGGGATTTCTAAAGACTTGTGTGGGCTACCCCGGCATGCAGTGATTCGGCCCCCTCGACACTCATACCGACAGTGGATGTCGGACGATTGGCAGCTCCGAGGGCAGCGGGGTCCAGGGCGCGGGCGGGGCCTCGGTTCCCCGCTGCGCGGCGTCACACCAAATTCGGCCACTGAGTCACGCCGGCTTCTGGTCCGCTGCAGCGACTCGGCGGAGACGTTCGTTGCTGCTCAGGACACGGAGATCGCCGACGCCACCATCGCGATACTACGTGAATTAAGTCATCCGCCGATCAGCAGGACCCTGTGGCAGAGCGCCGAGGGTTCATCTGGAGTGGTCGCGCTGATGGGAAGCGCTCATCGTCGACGCGGATGCGGCGTGCAAGTCGCCCCCCAGCAAGGGTCCCAAGACACCCTCCAAGAATATGTTCGTTGGGCGCTTTGCGCGGTTTCGAAACTCGCGGCGCGTAGAGCCGCGAAAGCGTTCAGTGGCGCGACATCAGAGACGACGACGGGCGGACGCATCGCGGGTTCCAGTGACAGGGCGATGTTGTTGGATGTCATGCCGGGGAGACATGCATTCAAGCAACGAAGTGAATACATGCACCCATTCATGGAGTTGGAAGACAGCTTAGTGAAACCCACCAGCTCTGAACTGTAATTTTGCTTCGCCGTCTGTAGGTAGACATTCGCCAGCCATCTGGCGTGGAAATTCGCTGGGACCTACTTGAAGCAACGGGCCCTTCAGCGCTCCATATCCAACATTAAACGCAAGTGGGCATGTTGTTGCAGCGCGGCCTCCACCAGCGAATGCAGCTCCACCGCGATGGTCCGACGACCAAGGTCGCACAGCATCACCGCAGCGCTAGCTCGCACGCGCCACGTATCATTTGGGACGTAAGGAAACAGTGTGGGCAAAGGTGAAGTGGCCAGACGGTGTTTGCATGGGGGTGGGGGGCGTCAAATTTGTCGGGATTTGGCCAGATAATTGTTGATGGTTCGCTTCTGACCACCAGCTTGTCCTACTTGTACGACAATGTTCGTCACTGTCTCTCGCTCCCCGGGCATGCGCCGCCCGCGTTCCCCCTGACGGCCTGCCGACGCCGGCCAGGTGTGGCCCACGGTCCCACATGTTCGACAATCTCGCGCCTGTCCACCCTGGGGTCGGGCCCGCGTCCTCTCCAACCTTCACAGGCTTGCGGTGCCCATGGTTGAACCGCACACCCGGCCGCTGAGGGGCCTTCTCCCGCGCCATGTTGGCTGCGTGCTCCAGCTTGTGCTGTTCTGCCCGCGCGGCATGGTGTTCGCCTCTTCTTCCTTCACGACCCTGTCGCGCCTGTTTGGCTGCGTCCACCAGGCTGGTGCTCGGGTTCGTGTTCTTCCCGTTCGGCGGGGTTGGATCCGGGCCAGCCTTCGTGTTCTGCTTCCTCGGCGCGCTCTTTGGCGGCTGCTTGCTGGCCGGGCGGTACTGCGGCCCCTTCCACCCGCTGCTCGCCATTCATCTCATTGTTTTTCCCTTAGCTAGGAGCGCGGCCCGCCCTAGCACGCTCGGCGTTCGACTCGTCTCCGAGCGCCCGCGGACCAAAAAGTACGCCCACCAGCCCATCCAGCAACGACGCCCAGGCGAGTTTCATTGATCAGGGAAGTGCGGGAACACGTGGTGGCACAAAGGTGGTGGGCAGCCAGCCGTCGAACCGAATGTCGGAAAAGGATTGAGCAGGCTCAGGAGTCGAGCATCAACACGTCCGCAGATACGTCGATCTGGGAGCATCTTCGCAGCTTGCTTGGACAACGTCGGGGCCAACATGAGGGCGGTTGGGGTTCTCTGGGTGCCCTCTTGCGCCCTCTTGGAGCCCCGTTGGAGGCGTTGGGGTTGTTGGGGGGCCCGGGACCATCGATCAAAGGAAGCTGTTTTTTATATGCCCCACCACCCCCATTGGAGACTAACAGAGTGTTGTTTGGGACGTTATTGGACGCTCTTGGGACCGTTTTGGGCCCATTTGGGTTCTTCCTTGGGGCTCTCGCGGGCGATCTTGGAGCTATCTTGAGGAGATCCCATCGGACGCGAAAAGGCGACAAGACACAACGCACTAATTCCTGCCCGCGTTGGGAGGAATTGGGCCTCGTGGGGGGGGTCCTTGGCCACCTAGAGCCGTCGCGGGATTGTTTTGGAGTCTCTTGGGGGCACGTGTGAGGTTGTGTAGAACCAGATTCGGCAATAGGGTACAATATTGGAGGTCATCTTGGGCCATCTGGGGCCATTTAGGGCCATCGGGGACGCTCTGACCGCTCGCGGCGCCCCCCTCCAGACCCAGGGAGAATGGGCAGGGGGCGAGGTACACTTTTCCCTGAAGGAGAAAGAAGAGGTTGGAAGAACGAAATCCTCAGACCACCTAGCCCCCGACGGACTGGCGGTGTCAAGATCTGCCCCACTTTCGCGCAGCACGCTTGCGGGCTTAGCCTCTGAAGGGCGTCCTCGCGAGGTTTGGGTTTTTTCCAGAGCCATTGTGTGGCCTCTCGGGGACATGTTTGGACACACGCGGCCTTTCCTTCCAGACCTCTGGGGCCTGGGGAGGGAGTTTGGGGGAGAGGCAAAGCGGGCGAACCCCCTTCCGCAGGGGAAAGACCGGGGGTTCGCAGAGGGGGGATTATTCAAGAGGTTTGCGCCATTTCGCCGAAGTTCACGGTTGAGGTGTCGTGGGCTTTTCAGGCACTACGAGCAGATTATTGTGGGCGTCTTGGGAGTTGTTTGGGGGCCTGGTGGAGTCTAGCCTCTTGGGGCTTGATAGGAGCCTTTTTGGGGCCCTGGGGGTTCCTAAGAGCCTTTGGGGGGCTTTTTTGGGCGGAACATTGTTCGGTTCTCGTTTTCCCGCTTCGCCCTCTTGGGCCGACCTTTGGCTGTCTGGGGCCCTTCTTTGGGTCGTCTTGGAACCCTCTTGGGCCGTCCTGGGGCTCTCGTGGAGGCTTATTGGGCAGTTTTGGGGCGGTCTGCGGGGCCTCTTGGGCCGTTTTGGAACGTCGGAATTTGCAAGGGAAAACCGCAGGAAAACCAGTGACCTGTGCCTCTCGGTGCCCTCTTGGGAAGGCTCTTGGGACGCCTCGAACGCGTCTTGGGGCGTCGTGGTGCCATCGTGGGCGTGGTGCGCCAATCGCCCCGCGATTCGGGACCCTCTTGGAACGTCTTCGAGGCCACGGAATGCAGACTTGGAACCAGCGGAACGGGGGTGCGCCGAGGAGCCCAGATACCCCCCCTCCTTCGAATGGAAGGTTGGACCCTGGGGGTCAGGGGACGGGGAGGAGGACAGCCTCACCCCCGGCAAACGGGGGGTCGGTTGATCCCAAGGTGGGGTTGGGGAGCGGACCCAGCTGGATGCTCACATCCCCTTCTTCAGGAGCCGTTTAGAGCGAAGATGACCTCCGATATGGTACAGCATTGCCGAACATGGTTCTATACAGCCTCTCACGTGCCTCCAAGAGACTCCAAGACAATCCCGCGACGGCCCTAGGTGGCCAAGGACTCCCCTTCTTCCAAGAACCATTTAGAGCGATTTTCCTCCCAGTCAAACCTCTGTCCCTACACCACCCATGCGTCCCCCCGAGAGAAGGGGCTGCCTTTGCAAAGGACTAGGCCACGACCAACGTACACCCGGGGGGCCGAAGGAACTGCCATCGTCGCCCCCCTCAGCCCCCGTCGCCATTCGCGCCGCGCCGCAGCCTCCGCGCGCTGTCCTTTTGGCCGAGGGCCGCTCCCAGGCCGACCGAGACCGCCCCCGCCAGTTCCGCGACCTGCTAGCCTCGATGGGCCGCACTCCCGCGCTCGAGGCGGAGGGGGAGCCGGAGGAGGAGGAGGAGGAGGAGGAGGAGGAGGAGGAGGAGCGGGGAGCAAGAGGAGGAGGAGGAGGAGGAGGACGAGGAGGACGAGGAGGACGAGGAGGACGAGGACGAGGACGAGGACGAGGAGAGGAGGAGGAGGACGAGGAGGAGGAGGAGGAGGAGGAGGAGGAGAGGAGGAGGAGAGGAGGAGGAGGAGGAGGAGGAGGAGAGGGAGGAGGAGGAGGACGACGAGGAGGACGAGGAGGACGAGGAGGACGAGGAGGACCTAGGAGGACGAGGAGGAGGAAGAGGACGAGGAGGACGAGGAGGACAAGGAGGACGAGGACGAGGACGAGGACGAGGACGAGGACGAGGAGGAGGAGGAGGAGGAGGAGGAGGAGGAGGAGGAGGAGGGAAGGAGGTGGGGGAGGAGGAGGCGGGGGAGGCGGGGGAGGAGGAGGAGCAGCAGGAGCAGGAGGAGCCCGCGCCCGAGGCGGCGCGCCAGCTGCCCTCCGCGGCACGGCCGCGCCGCGGGAGCGGAGGGGGCGGCCGCAGCGGCGGGCGCGGCCTAGCACGGCTCCTGCCGCTGCTGGCCGCGGCTGCAGCGGCGGAGCCCAACCCGCCGGAGTGGCCGGAGAGCGTGCGGGTGCGGGGGCGCGGAGGGAACGCCCACCTCATGTCGTTAAAGGCTTAACGATTTCTGCCGTCCTTCGACTCGCGCTGGAGCGGCCGCGAGTTGTTCCAACTTTCCCTGGGGATCTTTGGATTTACCTGGATTGCCCGGATATATCTCGATGTACCTGGATTTACTGGATTTGCTTCGATTTGTCTGCATTTACCTGGACTTATCTGGCTCGATCCCCACAAGCCGATCGGCGAAAAGTCCACCCTATTAGGGGAACGAAGAATGGCAGAAGCACAAAGGCTCGGAGGTCCGCGCGGATTTCTCGGATCGGCGCTGGACCCCCTTCCTGGCGCGCGGAGCGCGCCAGGGGTGGCGCCAGAGGCGCTGCCATGGGGTCCAGCGCGGATGCGAGGAATCCGCGCGGACCTCCGAGTGTTTATGTTTACGTTATTCTTCGTTCTCTTACTCATGGGCCTCCTGAGTGGGGTCCGAGGAGATGGGGTGGCTCGTAGGCTCGCGCCGAATCGCCGATGCATCGGCGATGCGCCGGCACTGATCGAGAGAGTGCCCCTCCAGGAAGACTGTTCCTATAGATCCCCTGGCGACAGCGGGCGTGACCCGGGGGGGGGAGGGTGCCAGGCACGTCACGAGTCGCGCCAGCGCCGTCTCTGGGAGCATCCAAGAGTGGCTTGTTCCCAGACGGCGCCAGCGCAAAGCGTGGCGTCACCAGGGGGGGGGCGCAGGGGCAAGGGGGAGGAGGGGGAGGGTCAGGAGGGTCAGGAGGGAAAGAGCACAGGCACAAAGAATCGTCGGTTCCAAGGAAATATATGGAAACTGTTTGAGGTGGAGGGGAGGACGAAACTCCAGCAAATACTGAAAAATTAGCCTGGCGACGGACCCAACCATATGCAGTTGTGAAGTGCTGGGTGGTGGCGGACGCATGCGGGCGTTGCCACTGGGACCTTCGGTGGACCTCCCTATGGGGCCACGAAGCGTTGTACTGGGTGGGTGAAATTCGGGGAGCAAGAGCTGTGCTTGGTGGTGGCGGACGCATGCGGGCGGTGCCAATGGGACCTTCGGTGGGGCCCCCTTATGGGGCCACGAAACGCTGTACTGGGGGGGTGAAACGCAGGGAGCAAGGGCTGTGCTGGGTGGTGGCGGACGCATGCGGGCGGTGCCACTGGGACCTTCGGTGGGGCCCCCTTTATGGGGCCACGAAACGCTGTACTGGGGGGGGGGGGTGAAACGCAGGGAGCAAGGGCTGTGCTGGGTGGTGGCGGACGCATGCGGGCGGTGCCACTGGGAGCTTCGGTGGGGCTCCCTTACGGGGCCACGAAACGCTGTACTGGGTGGGTGAAACTCAGGGAGCAAGAGCTGTGCTGGGTGGTGGCGGACGCATGCGGGCGGTGCCACTGGAAGCTTCGGTGGAGCTCCCTATGGGGCCACGAAACGCTGTACTGGATGGGTGAAACGCAGGGAGCAAGGGCTGTGCTGGGTGGTGGCGGGCCGCATGCGGGCGGTGCCACTGGGACCTTCGGTGGAGCTCCTTATGGGGCCACGAAACGTGTGAGGGGTGTGCAAAAGTGGGTGTGCGGGACGCACGCGGCCAGCGGCACTGGGGCCTTCGGTGCAGCTCCCTATGGGGCCACGAAACGTGTGAGGGGTGTGCCGAATTGGGCGTGCGGGACGCATGCGGGCGGCGGCACTGGGGCCTTCGGTGCAGCTCCCTATGGGGCCACGAAACGTGTGAGGGGTGTGCCGAATTGGGCGTGCGGGACGCATGCGGGCGGCGGCATTGGGGCCTTCGGTGCAGCTCCCTATGGGGCCACGAAACGTGTGAGGGGTGTGCCGAATTGGGCGTGCGGGACGCATGCGGGCGGCGGCACTGGGGCCTTCGGTGGAGCTCCCTATGGGGCCACGAAGCGTGTGAGGGGTGTGCCGAATTGGGTGTGCGGGACGCATGCGGCCGGCAGCATTGGGGCCTTCGGTGGAGCTCCCTATGGGGCCACGAAACGTGTGAGGGGTGTGCCGAAGTTGATGACGATGATGGTTTCGATGATGGCGGTGATGATGGTGATGAGGATGATAGTGACGATGATGATGGTGATGACGATGATGAGGACGACGACGATCACGGTGACGATGACGATGATGCCGATGCTGATGACGATGACGATGACGATGATGCTGATGATGATGATGATGATGATGATGATGATGATGATCATGATCATGATCATGATCATGATCATGATGATGATGATCATGATGATCATGATGATGATCATGATGATCATGATGATGATGGTGATGGTGGGAGGGAGGGAGGAAGGAGGGGGAGGAGGAGAGGAGGAGGAGGGAGGGCGCGGGGCGCTGTCTCTTCAAAACGAGGACCCGACACCACAGGATGATTGGGAAATATGGTACTCCTAGGATTTGTGCCTATTATGTGTCCCTGGGCGCCTTCAGAGGGGGAGGTGGGGGAGAGGGGGGGGGGGGGCGGAGCCCGCCACGGATGTTATCGCAAACCATGAAAGAATGGATCCCAGACAAGTCGGCCGAGGACATCTGCACATGGTCACTGCGGCACTGGCACCCGAGTGTGCCAGTGCGGTCCCAGTCTGCTTCGCTCATCGACGTGCGTTTCGCTGGGTGCACTCGACTGCTGTTGGACGTCGATGAGCTACCCCGCTGCGTTGCGTTCAGAATGCCCCTGGCAGCTTCTGTCCACCCCCGAGGTGTGGGGGCCTGGCGACGACGCGGGGCAGATCGAGTCCGTTGTCAACGAGGCGTTCCGGCTGAACGGGGGCCACGACACAATCGATCACGGGCAGTTTTCGCCCGAGCGCTACGCGTTCATGTTCAAGCCTGGGACCTACCACGTGGACGTCCCCGTCGGGTACTACACGCAAGTCCTCGGGCTGGGGAAGTCGCCGGACGACGTAGTCTTCGATTCTGCAAGGGGCGTGTATTCCGAGGAGGGCGATCAGACTGACCTCGGGGGGGCGCTCAGCACATTCTGGCGGTCTGCCGAGAACTTTCGTACCAGGAGCGAGATGTTGTGGGCTGTTTCTCAGGCTGCGCCCATGCGCCGAGTCGTAGTTGAGAAGAGCTTGAACTTAGCGCAGTTCGTGGACGGAGTAGGCATGGGCTACTCCAGTGGCGGTTTCTTGGGAAATTGCCGCGTGAAGGGCATGGTGAATTCCGCGAGCCAGCAGCAGTGGTTCGCCCGAAACTTGCAGGCGGAGGCTTGGCCGCAGGGCAACTGGAATATGGTCTTCGTTGGCGTGAACCCCGCGCCTAGCTCCTCGTGCGGGCGAACAGGAGACAGCTTCCCGTCCACCAGCGTGGAGACGACGCCCGTGCTGGCGGAAAAGCCCTTCGTGTCCATCGACGACGATGGCAAGTTCTCGCTGCAGATCCCACAGCTTCAACATGACCGGCAGGGCTACGACTTTTCTATTGGCGATACGGTACCTTTCGAAAAGGTGTACGTGGCCAGGGCGACCGACAGCGCGGCCAAGATCAATAAGAAGCTCAAGAAAGGGCTCCACTGCGTCCTGACGCCGGGCATCTACAAGCTGGATGCTCCCCTGGAGCTCAACACCGAGGGCCAGGTATTGCTAGGCCTGGGCCTCGCTACCCTCGTGGCGACCGATGGCACTCCCGCCATCCGGGTTGGCAACGTCGACGGGGTGCGGGTGGCTGGCGTGCTGTTGGAGGCTGGCACCGGCGAGACGGAGGCATTGCTGGAGTGGGGCGATGGCACTCATAAGGGAGACGCGACGAATCCTGGCGTGATGAGCGATTTGTTTGCGCGCGTGGGTGGCCCCAACGACCCCGAGGACTTCGAGGTCCAAGCGAGGGTGATGGTGCGGATCCGGTCGGACCACGTGATCGGTGACAACTTGTGGTTGTGGCGCGCTGACCACGGCGTGGCCGGCATCGTGAAATCTAGCATGAATCCTTGCGACCATGGTCTCATCGTCGAAGGGGACCACGTGACCATGTATGGGCTAGCTGTGGAGCACACTTTGAAGGACCTCGTGCAGTGGATCGGCGACCACGGCCGCACATACTTCTTCCAGAGTGAGTTGCCTTATGACGTGGGCCAGGATTTCGGCGACGCGGGTTACGTTGGATACCGCTTGAACAATACCGTGTCCACACATAGCGCTTACGGCGTGGGCGTGTACCACTTCTTCCGCGACTTCGAGGTCACTGTGCCTCGTGGCATTGCTTGCCCCGATTGGTTGGAAAACTCATTCGAGAACCCCCTGTCTGTGTGTCTCAGTGGGAAGGGAACCATGACCCACGTGATCAACGACAAGGGCAACCCAACGCAAGGGGACGCCTCTACGGAATGGTATTGCGAGAAGGGCCCCGAGATAGCCCCCCGCCCCGTCGCCAAGAAGGCACAGAAGGAGGAACCAGAGCATTCGGCCAAGCAGACGCACAAGGAGGGCAGTAAGAAAGCGCCTGCGACGCCGCCAAAAGAGTCACCCTCCGTTGCCTCCGAGAATCCTGCCGCGCCACATCTTTGGGCGAGGTGGGACTGCTCCGTGGGGCAGCAACACTGGAGGAGGGCCTGGTCAGCGAACAAGCAGGAGTGGTGCTGCAAGCACGAGCAGAGGGGCTGCGACGGCCGGCAGGACGACGAGGGCGGCGCGATCCACGACTCACTCGCAGCGCTGTCAGGTGTCGCGGCCAGCCTGGCGGCGGAGGACCTGGCGGACGAGAAGCCCACAGGGCTCCGCGGCGGCGGCTCGGCTCGGCCAGCCAGAAGCGGTGATGCTGGCTCACGCGCTGGCAGCGGCCACGCCAGCAAGCCCGCTGGGTCCGCCTCTACCAGCGAGCGCCCGCGTGCCGTCGTCGGCGCCCAGGCAGACAGGCCCTGGACGTCGCCGTGGTCGACGCACACGCTCGAGGACGGCCTGCTGATAGAGAGGCTGGACGAGGTCCAGGCGACCCCCGTCGCGGCCACGACGGTGGCTCCGGCGCCGCGCTGGATCCAGTCGCTGGTGGCGCTGCAGCTCTGCGCCTCCGCGGTCCTCGCGGTGCTCTGCTTCCTGGGGCGCCGGCAGCGCCGAGGGGGCGCGATGGTGCCCATCAGCACCTCCAGCGTGGACGCCGACGCCACGGCCGCGGTGACGCGGCAGGCGGGCGAGCCGCTGCAGCCGCGCAGCCCAGCCCTCCGGGGGATCACGTCTCCGGGCACGGCCTCGCCACTGACGGGCGCCTCCGACGCCGCGGCGTGACTCCTGCGCGGCTGCCAGTGACCGAGGAGGGGCCCGTGCCCTGCCGCGCGCAGATGCACAGAGATCTGGCGGCCGCCTGCACAGACAGCTGGATGCTGTGCGGAATAATACTGCTGAGTCGGGCCTGTCCCCGACAGGAGGAATATTCAAAAATAGACCAAACATAGTCTGGGGACGATTGTTCTACTATTTGTTGACTTCTTCAAAATACTGTTTGACTGCTTTTACTTGTTCGCCCCAAATCCGCCTGTAGGAGGACATGCCCGACCTAATGATACAGTGAAACCTATCGGGATGCAGGGTGGTGGGATGGGCGTCATCCGGCCCCCAAGCGCCCACCTGGCCACGCTGACACGGTTGTTTTTGGCCAGGCGTGGCGGAGCCATTTAATTAAATTATATAGGAATCGAGCAATCGACAGGAGTATTTCTCAGTCCCTTCACCATGGCCGCATCTGCCAAGGTGCCAGGGCACTCAGGAGTACCCCCCTTCTGAATTCAGGATTGCGCGTAGGTAGCGGTATTTCGGAAACGCTGCATGCACAACATGTTGTGACTCTGCGGAGTCTCTGAAGTTTTTTACATCGAAGACGCCTACGGCAAATAACCGCCGCCCCCCGCCTTCTAGAATCGTCCATGTGGCTTAGCGTTGTGGCAAAAGTTCTGCCAAGGTATCGGGCCATGTGTTCCCCCAACTGTTGTGGAAACCCATCGGGGAACACTTGGGGGAGGATAGCGGGGAAGATCAAGAGGAGGCGGAGGAGGAGGTGGAGGTGGAGGTGGAGGAGGTGGAGGAGGTGGAGGAGGAGGAGGAGGAGGAGGAGGAGGAGGAGGAGGAGAGGGCATTTTGGGAGCCTCTGGGAACACTCTTGGGGCCTCCTGGGAGCTTCCTGGGAGCTTCCTGGAACTTGGGGGACTTCTCGGGGGCCTCTTTGACCTTCTTGGGTGCCTCTCTGGGCCGTCTTGTGGCCCTCTTGGGGTAGGTACTCCAGGGCCGTCTTGGAGGTCATCTTGGGCGTCTTGGAGGCCTCTTGGGCCGTCTTGGGGGCCTCTTGGGCCGTCTTGGGGGCTTTTTGGGCCGTTCTGGGGCCACATTGGAGACCTATTGGGCGATCGTTGGGGGCTCTTGGACCGCCTCGGGCCGTCGGAAGGCCGAGAAAAAAGCAAATACCACAATCCTTCAACAACTCTTGGGAAATCAATGATTTGGGCCTTTTCGGGCTTTCTGGAGGCCCTCTTGGAGGCCGCGTGTGCCATCTTAGGGCCATCTTCGGCCGTCTTGGTGGGCTCCTGGCCCGTCTGACGCCGTCGGAAGCTGTTCGGGGGGGCCCTGTGGGCTGACTTGGGGCCCTCTTGGAATGCTCCAGGGCCGTCTTGGAGGCCATCTTTGGCGGCTTAGAGGCCTCCTGGGCCGTCTTGGGGGCATATTGGGGCCGTTTTTGGTCGGGTCGTCGGAAAACCGAAAAGAAGCAAATGTCAAAATCCTTCAAAAACCTAAGGACAATCAATATTGTTGGCCTCGTCTGGCCGTCCTGGAGGCCCTCTTGGAGGCTTCTTGGGCTGTCTTGGGCCAGCTTAGAGCCAACGTCGGCCATCTTGGTGGGCTCCTGGCCCGTCTGACGCCGTCGGAAGCCGTCTTGGGGGTCTCTCTGGGCCGACTTGGGGCTCTCTTGGGGTGCTCCAGGGTCGTCGTAGAGGCAATCTTGGGCGTCTTGGAGGCCTCTTGGGCCGTCTTTGTGCCTTCTTGCGGGCCTCTTGGGCAGTCCTGAGGTCATCTTGGAGGCCTCTTGAGCGCTCTGGGGGCGATCTTGGGGGCCTCTTGGGCCGTCTTGGGTCGTCGGAAGGCCGAAAAGGAGCACGTACTAACAACTTTTAAACCTTGAAGGGACATCAGCGATTTTAGCCTCCTGGCCCTCCTGGAGGACCTCTCGGAGGCCTCTTGGGCCGTCTTGGAGGTTTCTTGGGCGACCTTGGAGGCATCTTGGACACTCTTGGGCCGTCTTGGAGGGCGTCTTGGCCGTCTTGGAAGCATCTTGGAGGCCATCTTGGGCCATCAGGACGGTTTTGAAAGCCATCTTGAGCCGTCTTGGAAGAGTTTTGGGGAGAATTATGCGCCGTGGCCTGCGGGACGGGCCGAAGCCCCAGCGGGAGTTATGTTGGAAAGAAACCGAAACCAACATCGAAAGGATCTAGCACGCTGGGCACCCCTGTGACAAGCACAGGGGACGGCGGATCATAATGGCCTTCGGCCCATCCCGCCACTGTGCCTGGGTCTATGGGTCAGCGGACCGTGTTGGGGACCGATTGGTGCCCTATGAGTCCGCAAAATCACTTGAGAACACGCGCTGGGGCTTCGAGATTTAGGATCTTTGGGTCTTGGAACCTGAATATGTTCCATCCTGATGACTGGGGACAGCAGAGGACCTGAGGACACTCCAACTCGTTCCTCGCAGTACGGTGGCGGACATAGGTGGCCAGCATGTCTGGCACGTGCATGCAACGCCACTAGGTCCGCAGGCTTGGCACTTCTGCCAGCTGGGGTCCTGCCGGTGGAGCTCGACCGTCCGTACCAGCTCCGCCAGTTGGCTCAGCCAATTCACGCCAGTGGAGAGTCATATCAATGTCATATAGGTTCCATCGACGCCCCAGGTCAGGAGTCATGTGGCTTGCCCCGTGCACTCGAGCGGTTTCTCTTGTCGACGTGTTGGGGACGTGCTGTGAGGTATCAAACATTGGCGCCACCTCGCCCAAAAAGTGCACATCGTCGTGGCTGTCCTCGGTAAGCCGTGTTCACAGTGTTGCTGAGTTGTGAGTTGCAGGCAAGAGGCTAAAGTGAGGTCGTGCAGTTCGAGGATGGTGCGATGCCCCGTCGTATCGTATGTGCTCATTTCGTGTTGCGCAGTATCGTGCAACGTTATGCCACACCTCATGTGCATCAGCATTCGGGCTTCAGTGCTGCTAATTTGTGAGGTCCAGGCGAGCGGTCGAGGCATTATTGGGGCTCCTTTGTCCTCCTCCTCCTCCTCCTCCTCCTCCATCTCCTCCACCTCCCCCTCCTCCTCCTCCTCCTCCTCCTCCTCCTCCTCCTCCTCCTCCTCCTCCTCCTCCTCCTCGGGTCGCCTACGGCCCCGAGGGAAACCGTGCATGGCCTGGCTCTGGGGATGTCCTCGTTCCTCCCTTTGTCGGAGAAGTACGTCTGAGTCTCGACGGTAGCTATCCGTTAGGGCGGCGGGCACGAAGGCACGAAGGCTCGAGGAGCAGCTTGCGGAGAATGCCAACGCGCTTCGTGCAGATCGCAGCCGCCCCTGGCGGCACGAACGACAGCGGGCTTTTCACTGCGAGTCGGCGACTTGGGCGGGCGCGGTATCATGGCAACGTCGACAACGGTAGACACGATGATGACAGCAGCGATGCTGGTGACAACGGCGACAGCGCGGCCAGTGCGGGCGCCGATGCTGATCATGCCGACGACAATGACGGCATCCTCGCGTCGGCGATGAACGGTTTTGGAAAGAGCGATGGCCTCTCGCAGCTGCTGGAGGTGCGATCCCACTAGTTGGAGGCGCCTGCTCTGGAGTTCGCGTGAGCCTTGGAGGCGATATTACGGATCCCGCCGTCCGCAGTTCTCGAATGCTGGCTGGGGGGGCACAGCTGCTGAAGCCTCGGGCGGGAGCACGCGCAGGGCAACTCTCCTGGGTGCCTCGAGGGCCCCCACGGCTTCGTCGACCAAGTCTGAATCCTGCCGAGCGAATAGTGAGATCGATAGAGCGATAGTGAGATCGATCGTGGGATCGATTGAGTGAGACGCTGGTTCTCCCCCACCCGGAACCTCCTTATCACCCGAAGGAGGGTAGTCGTATGTACAAGCATTGAGTGTCACAATGCTTGACACTACCTTGGCCAACCTTCAAGGCCGTCTTGAGCGTTTCTGGAGGCTAAGGTGGAAGGGGGTATTGGCTCCAGGAGGTGACGTCTTCTAACAAGTCCGCTTCTCGTAGGAGTGTGACCCTTTCATTGGGACTCTGGCATGCTGAGTTCGTTATGCATCATGATTCAGCGTATCGGAGATCGTGTTCAGCAATCTCGGGCTATCTTGTGACATCTCGGAGCCTCCCGGGTCACTATCTAAGGGATGCTGGTGCCATATTGGTTCCATCGTGGGCCTTCGAACCCCCATTGTTTCGACGTGGACGTCTTCAGTGCATCCTGAGGGAACCGGAATTTGCATGCGGAAGCCCCTGGTGGAAAAGCACATGCCATGAAAAAGGCGGTCTTCTTAGAACGCCGCACCTCCTGGTGCCACAAACCTCCGTTCCAACTCCGCCTCATCCTTCGCTTTCTCCTGTCCTTCCGTTACGCCGTTACGCTCTCTTCGCCCTCGCCGTCTTCACCCATTTCCCGGTCGCATTCCGTCCCAAGGGGGTCGCGCACGAATTCGAAACGGGCATTCGTCAATTGATGTACAGTAACAGCGAAAATTCGTTGCAGGATTTCGTCCGTGTTATTTGCTACTGGGTAGTCTGGGTTCCGCAGCCTAGTGGACGCGCAAAGAGGACGTCAGATCGAGCAAGTATTCGGTGTTGATGGCTGCTGCAAACCCTTCCCAGGACAAACAATAAGCAGCGCTATAACGACCACCACCCGCGCAAAGCCCCCTGCTGATGCAATTCGCAGGGCCCGAGCGCTCTGGCTGCCCCACCATAAAGCGACGCGCAGCTCGCCCAATTGATCGCCCTGACCGTCGACGTGAACGTGTTAATGGTGATTTGGGCATCACCATATGGCGCACGCGACGTCCTTAATGCGATCGATCAGGACGCGTTCACCAGGTTGTTGTTCGGTGGCGGTGAAGAGGAGATTCGAGCGCATGTTGCAAAGCTGTCAAATTGCGCTCAGGAGCTTTGCAGCGCGGAGCCGACACCCGAACGATAATTAGCAAACACATGTTGAGAGAGTTCACAAGTATCGTAAATAGTTCAAGCATCCGATGGGAAATGATGAACAAATGTGCGAGGTTCTCCACATTGGGGTGCATATGCATATTCATGTACATGTGTATACGTATAGATATACACTTTTTACGTCGGCGGCTAGGCAGAGGGACTGCGCTGGCGAGCAAAGCGAAACGGGGCAACGTTAGGCGAATTCAGCCACCATGCAGGAGGGGGGGAGGAAGGGCGACGAGGCGACGGCCGAGGAGAGGGGAGAGGCAGGAGCCGGGCCCGATCAGACCATACACAATTACACATACACGTGAGAGTATAATATATATACATATATATATATATATATATCTTCATTGTATACATATATATATATATATATATGTTTGTGTGTGTATCTATATGTGAAAGAGCGTGCTCTACCGCTGCTGGCGGAAAACCGGGGGGGTCACTACCGGTTCGAACCCCTCCCCCCCCCTCTCCGGAAAACCGGGGGTGGTCACTACCGGTTCGAACCCCT